ATGGGAAAAAAAAAAACTGGGGAAACTGAATCAGGCAGGGAGAAACTCTAATATTGACGTTGCTGGTAATGTTCTGATTAATAATTTTACTGAGGCATTTGCAGGTATTCACGTATAGTTTGCTTTATAATAAATGTGTAGTACAGATTATTTTAGGTATCAAATAATATGGAATTGCAAAGAAAATAGGATTGTACTTGCTGTCTCATAGTGTTTCATTTCTTATCCAAAACTTGAATGCCATGCATTGCATTACCAAGATCTTCTGATAATAACATATTCTTGACTGAATCAGTGAAACTGGACCACCTTCAACAATTTTGAAAATTCTTGAGATGTTGGCTTTTGTCGTGAGCATGCATCTCCTAATTTATTTTCTCTTCTTGTGAGTAGCAGTAGACATGTTTCCACTGAGCCTTCTTTAATGTAACAGAACTCTTGGGAGGTATGTCTTCATGTCATTTAGAAAGACAACAAGAAAAAATATTAAAAAGTCCTCCATATACTTGGATACTATGTGATGTCACTGGAATACAAATACTCTTTTTCTCTGTGGCTATAACTCAGAAAACATGGGCAGGTCCCCTGATTCTCATAACCACCTAACTTCAGAGGGCGGACAGTACAAGGGATTCACAGTCCTGGTAAACTTTGCATCAAACCAACCTTGAAGTCCACTTTATCTTCAGACTTTTCAGTGTGCTGTTAGGGACAGAAATTAAGCTGGAAAATCAGAAGATGCCACATTCACTATAGTGCAATACAGACATTAAAAAAGCCAGTTTGATTTAAGAGCTCTGATTAATGCAATAGAAATGACGTGAATGCAAAATCTAAGAACAATTGTCTCTGGCAAGGTCATAAAAAGTATTTCTCAAGAAAATTTCCTCCCCTTAGCGAGAACTAGCTTCAACTTGTAGGAAGTAAATTGAAAGTCCCTACAGATAAAACTGCACTGAAGTGACTGTCCTTCAGAACATCAGTTTCTGAGTTACGATGAACTTGCAATCCATTTGGCTTCCTTAGTATTTTTTTTTTAATAATTTCTGAAACGGAATAGTTATTTCTTAAGTATGTCATATATTATCCCATTTTCCTCTATTAGGCTCATAAACATAGTCATCTTGTTCCCATTGTGTACATGCTTTCTAATAAGATAATTTCATTTTTTAAATGTTTTCTTTCTAAAATGTAATGTGTACAGGAAAATTCTAATATATAATTTTAATGCATGTCTAAATGAATCCCCCCCTGGATTATACTGTAGTCATAACTAAAAGCAACTTCGAAAGCTCTACATAACTTTTTTTTTTTTAGTTTTGAGCTATCATGGTCGGATATGCCTGAAGAACTTCCTCCTTACCCTCTCAAAACGTTTGCCTTGGATATAAATTTGTTTTTCTATCACAGTTAATTTACATACAAATTTCATTTCCACTCCAATCCAAACTCCTGCCTTTTTTTTTTTTTGCCTGCATTCCACTATAGTAACACTGTCAGCTTTTGAATTTCAAGCTTAACTTCTGTCCCTAAAAGCAGCTTAAGCATTTTGTCCTTAGCAAATGGAGTCCGACTTTACATCTTTGATGTCCTTGTGCTCAGGTGCACATTTCCTGTTCTCCTTTTAGCTCATCCAGCCCCATACTTCTTGAGAAGAAATAAAACACCTTCATTGATTCAACTTTAAGTATCACATTTGCCAGTAAGACTTTAAAAGCAAAATACTCTCAAACTTCAGGAGAGTTTATAATCCTGAATTTTCTCATTTCCACCATCCCCGAGGGGATGCGGCACGTATTATTATGCCATTAAGGAAATGAAGACTTTCAGAGCCAACCAATTCTCCCTTTAGTTCCTTCCTCCTATTTCCATGTTCTAAAACTTTCTTTATATAAATGGTTCAAAAACCTTATTAGCCTTAACCTTGTGACTTGCAGAAGATTTTGTTTTTAAAGATTTATTTATGCATACAAGAACTGGAGTACAGGCCAGGGGTGCAGGAGAGAGAGATTCACCGGAGACAGAGTGGGGAGTAGAACAGGCAGATTGATTGAAGTGCACTGCTGAGGGGAGCAGTGGGGAGACAGGAGGGATCTGCTGCACCCTGTGGGTCACTCCCTGGCCTGGGATGAAACTCAACACATGCTTCAGTGGCTGCAGGTAGCTTCACATTACTGAGAGTTAACCCAGGGCCACCGGGGAGGCTCTGCCTTGCAGCATTTGAAGACTCGCTCACTGGAAGACCAGGGCCATGAAGTAGCATCCATGGCCCCACGTCTGCTGTGGAAATAAATTTGCTCCCCTGTGATTCTGTCACATTGGATAAAGGTAATCTGTTTAAAGTGCCTGCAACTAACTTTGCTCTGAAAAGTTTCTCCATGGAAACAGCACTTCTTGTTTCTCATAGGTGACTATACATAACCAACAGAAAACAACAAATTAAAACCATCAAAATAAAATTTACGGTAATTTATATGTATGTAAGTATATACACTTTGGGGGTACTTTTACTTTTTATTCTTTCACGAGCTTTAAATGTTTTGTAGACTGTATGCCACAAGATAAACCAGAAATTGATAACCGAGTGCCCTCAAATATGTTTTCCATCCAATACGAAATATCTCAGCTGAGGTTGGATCTATTAATACAGAATTAAACGAAGGAATTAGAAGATCATTTGAGCAATGTAAGTCGACCTCATGTTAAAAAACAAAGCTCTATTTGAAGAAGGGCTGTACCCTCCCCTTCATAGAGCTTCCCCTGATGTTGACAACTAGCAGCATGATGATCAAAGCCAGGAATGTAACCCTGGCACAGTAGGGTACACAGATGGACCGTACATGTTCTTGGTTTTCCACAGCTATCCCTCTTCTTTTCCAGGATTCCTCATCACCTTGCTCACTGTGTCTCCTTGGCCTCTTGCAATCTAGGGCAGCCAAGTCAAGCTTCCCTGATTTAGACACACTATCAGGACCAGTCAGTTTCTTTGTGTAATTTTTAGCCACCGAGGCTTGCCTGATTCTTTCTCATGCTTAGCTTGAGGCGTTGAGTTTTTGGCAAGAAAACTAGGGAGGGATATTGTGTCCTTCCTTCTGCGTTCATGGTATCAAGGGTACATGATGTCAGTCTAGCATTACTGGGGCTTACTTGGTTAAGGTGGCACCTGCCATTTTTTTCCACACCAGTCACTACTTTTCCTTTGCTCAGAATAACCCAGCGGAGGTACTTTGAGACCATGTAAGCATCCTGTTTTTCCTTAAACCTTTGATTTTTAGCTATCATCTTTATTTTTATGTTTTATATAACTATGTCATACTATATTAATATGAATTACAGAGATCACAGATAAATCCTAAACATCTATATTGTTATATCTATTTTTTCTGATCTTCTAAATGTATACATATTTTATAGTATTTATAATAATAATAATTACTGAGATATCTACCTTGCAATGGCTTTGTATTTCCTTCGTTGCTTCTGCATGTTTTTTGCTGATATTAGTTTTTTATTAGGTAACACTGGTTTACTACACTGTATGTGATTTAGATATATAGATCTAAATGCAAAATATTAACAAATTTTTGGAAATAGTTATAATTTTTTTCACTATAGATGATGAGAGTGACGTAATAAAAATACTTGAATTTAGGTCAAAGTAAATTGAATGCATTCAATGTTCAAATGTATACATATTTATACATTTGTATTTATACATTTATACAAATGTATTCTATCAATGATAAAATAGTACATAGCATTTCAACCTTCACCATATAATGGACATCAAATGTAGGATTGTGGCAAATTTAATTTGTCTGATCATGTAGAGTTTATTTACAGACATTCCCACCTATTGGCACTTTACTATATGTTTTTGTGTAAGTGGGTGTTGAATTTTACCATATATTACCCCATTTACAAGTTTGTTTATGTAAATGTACATATGCATTGCATTTCATGTAGAAAACTACACTGATTGATTCTATGTCCGTTGATGCTTCTGTTCCACTGAAGTAGTGTTTCATATTTTTCTAAGGAAAGTGCCGAGTGCAAGTTACTTTTATGATCTGATATAATTATTTCGAGATTAACTTAAGCCCATGACTTCCCTGGCGTTCAGAGTGATGTTCTAATTCCTTCGAATAAACCCAGGGCAGGAGCCTATTTGTGCTGTCGTCGGTGACATGCAGCGTCTGCACCAGCATGTTCTGAATACCACTGGTTCCAGGGAGCATCCCATGCACTAAATCACCACAGCCAGAGAAACCTGGGAGACGCCACTTGCCGTCTCTGACACTTGGAGACTCCCCATATTCATGAGCAGATTAAGATACTGATGCATACCTGATGTATAACACCCTCATTTATCCTTTGTATTCAAGTAATTCCAAACTATTGGGATTGGCCCATGGCCCATGGCAACATTTTCTCATGAACCTTTATTAAAATCATTAACATCATTAAGGAATCCTTTTTATAAATTGGCATTTGTGAAATCTCTATCAAGTTAGTATTTGTTGACTTATGACAATACAGAGATTAACCAAATATATGCTTCGGTACACCTTATAACCAAATATATGCTTCGGTACACCTTATTTTATTTACTTTTTCATAAGCATATAGCAAGTTTATTAAGGGCAAAAGAAGACACCTGCCTAGTTTATATTTTAAATGAAAAGTATTTCTTACCCGAAAATTATCCCTTTAAGATGAAAAGACATTGTCAACTGTTCATACATAAATAAAGATGAAGGGGCCTCTCCCTGATGGCTTAGGGGTTAAGCCTCAGGCTATCACTGCTGTGGCCTGAGTTTGATCCCCAGCTAGGGAGTGACCCCACTCTGTCTCTGGTGAATCCTCTCACCCCCTGTACCTCTGACTTAACACCCTCGATCTTGTATGTATAAATAAACAAATTCTTAAAAAAAAATAAAGATCAGCTTCAAACATAGTTGCCCTTTAAGTAACTTACATTTTTATTTATTTATTTTCAGGAACAAATGACTGTATTTCTGACGCAGCATCAGGTAAGAATAAAACTTTTAAGTTAAGACTAACAGACCAGGTTAAACTAAAACCAGAAATAACCCCTCACTGCAGGGGAAACAAGAACACAAATCTTATCAGAAAGATAGGATTTCAAATTTGCAAGTGAATACTGTGGTTTTTTACATGTGCAAACACTGTTTGATGTTAAATCTGTACTTGGATAGAATGATTCTGAATTTCCACAAACTAAAGGGGCCTGCAGAAATTAACTTTTGTAATCACTGGTGGGGGAAAGACATGTAGAAAGCAAAATAAATCATGGAAATGACAGAAATTTGGTACGCTCCAAATTTATTCCTCTTTTGGATCTCCTTAATATCCTAATGACCATCTTATCTGCTTGCGGAAGCATTTGCAAATGCCTACCCTAGAGGCCAGCAGCCTGTCCCTGGCCAGACCCTGAGGAGATGTTGAAGGTGCTTTTCAGATAGATGCTTTTAAAATGGCTTCTTTATGAGCCTGGTGGCTCAGCATTTCTCCAATTTCTTTGAAATACCTACTCACTCAGAGTTCTTTTTGAGCTTGAGAATTTTTCATGGCCTCTCTTCTGATGTCGGGGATAATGTAAAAGTATTTCAGAGCTCTCTAGGGTGAGGGTTCTATGACAAAGCACCTCTTCGTGCAGAGTTTTTGTGCCTTTCTATGATAATGAGATGAAGATGAGTATTTATGAGCAGCTAATGTGTATTCTATTCTGTTGGGAACCTCAAATACCTTGGCAAACTTACTACCAACCACCAGCATCTCCGTTTGGCTGAGAAGCAAACACCAAGTCTGGTTATGAAGCCAATAAGTGGTTGGCTTACGCATGAACTCAAGCTGATCTTGGAAGAAACAATGGGCCTTTTTCTACCCTGTCTTATACTTTAATGGGTGAATATTTATCTTTCTTTCTCAGTGTACTTTAGCATATTCAGAGTCATAATTCTTACAAAAACGTTCTGAGAATGTCTCTGTTCTCTTCTCAGAGGAGAATAATGGGGTTCTCTCTGTAAGTGGGGGGTCCCCCAAAGAAGAGGATGTTCTAGGTTCCCTATACCAGCTAAGGGAGGAGAGGAAGCTGGAGAGGAGACTGGGGAAGGAAGTTAGCAGGATGAGGACCGAGGAGGAGACCTGAGGGCAGCACATGGAGCAGGGAGAAGTGTGAAGAAGCTGCACTTGTTTTTTTTTGGTCCTCGGCTGGTTGAAGCTGACGCGGGTGAGAGACCCCTGGAGAGGTTAACAATGACAGTGTTTGTCTTGATCTTGTTTTGTTCTTTTCCTTCCAGACTTGTCTGGCCATTTCTGACCCTTTTCTATGGGTCCCCACCAGGAGTGCCTTAGACTGCAGCAGGCCCTGATTTGGGTCACTCCTGTTTGGCTGGGCCTTTACCCATGAGAGCATGGGTAACTTCAGGTGCTTGATTTGGAAACTCTTTTCTTTTTTTTTATTTATGCATACATAATTGAGGTGCAGGGGCAGTGAGAGGATTCACCAGAGACAGAGCGGGGAGCAGAACAGGCCGACTGATGAAGTACACTGCTGAGGGGAGCAGCGGGCGGGTCAGGAGAGGTCTGCTCCGCCATGTGGGTCATGACCTCCGGGGTTGGGGGTTGAATTTGCACTGAATAGGCTGTGGCTAATTTGCAGTGTTGTGTCCTCACCACCAGGGAGTGTTGCACCACCAGGGAGGACCCTGGAAACTTTTTTCTTCTCCTTTTCTAGTTATATCACTCTTCCTTTCCATTGACGGTCTTATGCCCTGGAGTATGTTTTGTTTTGATGTAGCAGATGGCAGAACCAATTAGAGCAGACGGGTGTGGGGGCGTCTCTTTCCCTCTCCTGTAATACCTCCATCACTTCAAGCTCCTGTCCGCCCATGTAACATGCATCCCCTTTGTTAGCTTATTCTGTGGGAGCCTGATAGTATTGAAACATGATCAATACCTTGGACTCATTTACTTGCTTTTGAAGAAACTCATCGCTATTATTGGACCCATCTGTACCAAGAAAGAGAGGTTGAGAGATTCTACCTGGCCTCTGTTGTTCATACTCACCATTCGTGAAAATTAAATCCAATAATAAAGCAAGATGCTTCACATAAAAATGAGGGCCAGACAGTTCAAAATGACAAATAAGGTGTCACAAGGCATCTGAAATGAGTCAGTCAATGCGCATGGAAACTAAACAGGGTCTGAAACAGGAATTAGACATTAAAAAAAAAATTCAAACATTCTGTTTAATTAACTTCCATCATCAACATGTTTATGAATTTTCCTACAGTGAATCCATTTTTTAGTCTTTCAGAGCTGCACAATATTATGATAAATTTTTGTGTTTGTTCATCTTTTGCTAGTATAGGCTGGCAAATATTTCTTGATTCATTTAAAAAAAAAAAACAAACAAACCAGCAGTTGAGAACAATATGTGATTGTATTCTGTTCTTTTTGTTGTGAAAGGAATATAAAGCTCTCTGTCTTGTAATGAATAGATGAATGATAATGTGTCCTCAATGGGACACTGTTTCAAAATCTATTGTAGCTGCATGACTGTGATACACCATACAACGGAGATGAACAATACAGAAATTGACCTAACTCGTCACCATACATTCAAATGTTCAGAGTTTTAAAATCCAAATGATAGTGAAATGGTTTATGTTTTTGTTTTCCATTATACACATGATTGATATTACACATCTATAAGTATCTATGGCTCTATGTATATACTCATTAATGTCCCGTTTATAGCAAATGTATATAGTTGACACACTGAACACATGCTTTATGCTACTCTTTGGGCTGCTTTGTATATACCTTATTTAATCTTCATATAAATTCTGAGGTAGGTGCTGTTATTCATTTTTCCTTGAATGGGTAAAGGAGGTACGTGAAAATGATGCACCCAGGTTCCCTTGGCTGGTATAGGGATGAGTCTAAGGTTAAGCCTGTTTTTAGAACATACATATTTAGTAAATGTAAATACTTATCCTTCCACTTCATTAAGACTGTCTAGTTCTCACTCTAGTTAAGTCCAGTTCTCTGAAAGTCTGCCTTTCTCTTGCAAAAAGGTTGGTGTTTTCTTAGGCAAAAATTTTCTCTTCCTAAGGAGGATTAAGCCAGAATTGGCTGCAGTATTGTATTTAACTAGGGAGCTTCCTTATGTTCCAAACAACAATGGAATGATCTGTGAAAATGAAGACAGAATCAGTCAGCTTAGTCTCAGAGATTTTTCTTGAAATGTGAATCTTGCAATTTAAAAATAAATGGTGAGGAACAAAAGTGACAGAATTTTTGATACATTTCCCTCTGAGAAGATAAATAATTCAAAGTAGAAATAATCAATGGAGAATTACTCTCTAGTAAAAAGATTTGCTAGTTATGAAGATAGGTTATTTTCTAAGAATAGTGCCAAAGACTAAATAAAGTCAAATATTTGCCATGTTATCTTTTTAGTATCTATATTTTAATAGTATAGTCCTTTATATCATATGGTAGTTATGAATATATTAAGAAAACTGCAAAGCTTTTGACCAAATTTTCTTTCAATAAATATACTGTAGATTAAAATAATATATAAATACTATGACTTCTTGGATTGTTTTGATTGTGTTCTTTTAGACTCACATCATTTACTTGTGGCATTGGAAAAGTCTTAACAAATTTTAAAATAGAGCATCATGGAAATTTTCTTGCACTCTGTAATACTCTGGAAACCCAAATATCTACATTTTTGAAGAGGTCTGGGGATTCAGAAAGTAAACTTGCACACCTGATGTAGGCAGTAGTGGGATAATTCCATTGCTCCAAACAGCCCCTCTAAATGGCTCTGTGAGGGCTGGAGTTCTGGGTTTTCTTTTCTCAGTTTACTGTCAGTTCTAAGGCAGTAGGAATAGTTAGCAACTATGCTGATTATTCTGGAAGGATGGTTCTTGGCTTTTCTTTCTAACTACTTAACTCACTGTGTTGAAAGTAAGTAAAAATGGTGGTTTCAAGTTCGTTGACTTCTAATGAAGCATCTGACATCAATAGCTCTTTGATTTAGGTCGATTTTGCATTGAGTTTGAACAGTTTTGCACAGCTGAGTCAATGCCTAAAGGTGACTATGTACTATAAGAACATGCGTTTGAGAAAGTTTCAGTAGCAGCGATATCCTGCATCATCTTTTAATCGATGACTACAAATAAAGATACGTGGTAATTACTGGCATATGTAAATAACTTTATTCCCAAGTGGAAATTATTTGGGGGCATACTTATCATTAAGGGTGATAATTTCCTCACCATGGAGAATTAGGATAAGATGTGAAATAAGACCCCCCTCAGCATCCTCCCCCCAGCCCCAAATTTTTCTCTTGCTCTTCGCTCCTTTTCTCCTCTTCTCCCTTTCTCATTCTCTTTGCAGTTAACACTTTCTCAAAGGGCAAAAGACTCACCTATTCATTCTATTCCTGTTTGCTACCAAATAAATTCTTCATTAATTGAAAGAAATACAGGAAATGAAATATGTACTCAAGGCTGGAACACATTAAAATCAGTAAGGTGCTTACTAGTTCAGACTATGGAACCACAGTAGAATTTGCTCCAAGTATCAGCTTCTTTCTGTCATTAATAATAAGAACTTGACTAGCCTGTTCCTCTCATGAAGAGTCGGTCTTCTTATCTGAGAATTGGATTCGTGTTAGTTATCTGGGAGTTTGATTAATCCCTAACTGCCCTCTCCCCCCTTTTAAGGTCTGAGGATATGGAGGAATCATCGCAAAGCAGTGGCAGAGTGGGGTTTATGTTGTCACACAGGTTACTGATAAAGCTTGCATCGAGCACACAGCTTAGTGTCAGGGCCAAATGGACCTCCCCAGGAATCTCATGATGCAACATAAATCAATCTGTAGATGCCAGCCTGGATCTGTGAGGCAACGATCCCAAGATTAGATGAAAAGTATGGAGGGGTTTCTGTTCTGAGGAAGAGAGAGAGTGAAAGAAGATAAGGGGGAAGCTGC